CCATTGGCCAAAATTCAAGAAATGAACATCAGATATTTATTGTCAAATGTGTACACATGAGCTCCTAAGGGGTTAAGCTTTTTTGAAAACATAATAATCATGTCACTTCGAGAATACCATAAAACAAGTAAAAAAAACATTAAGTTCGGCCGGGCCGAACTTTTAATACCCTCCACCTTAGGGTAATGGAACCACTAGAACCAATTATGACCCACAAATAGCAATTTTTAAACATATTCGTGGGAAAATTTGGCAAAAAATCATCAAAATGGCGAATATCGGGAGGTACCGCTATATAGGGCTATACAAAAGCGTAGACCTATACATACAATATTCCGTAAAAAAATGTGGTCAAAACCATCAAAATACAGAATATCGGGAGGTACCGTTATATGGGGGCTATATCAAAACGTGGACCTATACATGCAATGTTTCGCCGCACGAACTAGGACCCATTATGACCTACAAATACCAATCATCAGACAAATCCGTGGAAAAATGTGGCAAAAATCATCCAAATACCGAATATCGGGATATACCGTTATATGGGGACTATACCAAACGGTGGACCGATATATCTCATTTTCAATGCCAGCAATCCTAGACACAATAAAAATTATTCTGCTAAATTTTGACACTCTACGTCAAATAATGTGGGCTGTATCGTGATTTCAACAGACATCGTCTCTACGACGAATATTCAGGGATGTTACAAACGGAATGACATAGTTAATATACCCTCCTTTCCAAGGTGGAGGGTATAAAAAGAGAAAATGTGGTTAGATGCTTTTTTCAGTGGGATCAGTGCAAAAGTGGAGTAAAAATAGAACTGTATTACAAAATTAAATACTTTTTAAAATGACAAATCTTGGCATAGTTATTGAAAAGCAAATTATTGACTTATGCAGTAATTTGTATGTTTAGTAGTCGTGAATAATATAGAAGATGTGAGTGTTCTGAGTTGCCTTCAAGATTAATTTTGAAAATAAAATTGGATTTCAGTTAAAGTTTTAATTGTTTTCCCCCCTGAATCCTCCAATGTGATTTTTTTCACGCCATTAGTAATGGTCCTAAGACTATAAAAGTGCTTATTTAACTTTCAGATTTTGCCAGATGTGTGTTATGCCCAACATACTGAAGTGACTTCGCTGCAAGTATGTCAGTTGTATGGTGCTAGTGACATGGAATATGAGATTGATAAAGATGTAATTGAGGGGTGATCAATATTATTGCAAGCATTGTCTTCTGGGTATAATATTAATGTCGAAAAATTTAAAGCCTTTGCACTGGAAACTGCTAAAGAGTTAACAAATAGATATCCATGGCACTATCTTCTACCCACAGTTCATAAAGTTTTAATGCGTGCACCCGACATTATAAATTTGTCATTGTATCGATTGGAGAATTATAGGAGAAGGCCGTGGGAGAAGATATAGCCCTATAGATATAGCCCGTTATAGGAGAAGATATAGCCCTCATATAATATTATCTCCCAATATTCGTCGAATAAATGTGCTCCAATGTGGCATTTTATGATTGAAGTACACTTAAGTCTAGTCCTTTAATACTGATTACCCATATAGCCTACCGATTTGAGGTATTTTGAAGGCCTCAAAAGCATTTTCGAGGTTATAAATCATTTGTTAAAACAATTACGAAAAGTCTACTTCTCAGTACCTCTTTATATTCGTTATATCATCGTATTTAATTAAATTTTCAAACCTCAATTGTCAGTATTATAAAGGTCTTGGCAATATTTTTCAAATCAAAAGTAATTTAGAATTTGTAACTTTTAGAAGACCATGTTTGTGAAAAATCCAATTTCAATTAATCTATATCCGTCTGTGTATGTGGCCGTTCGTTAAAATCGGAATGAAGGCGAAATATTTAGTTTAATCTTTGAACATTTATACAATATTCCTAGTAAGTTAGAAATTATACGTTTCGTTTAGGCATAATAATACCGCTAAACATTCGTCCTTTTGTATGTTTTTGTTATAATTTCTACCGAATTAACTGTAATTGACATTTAAAGTCTTCAGTATTGTGAAATCAATACCGACAGTAACTGTTTACTATTTAATTTACTATTGTTCCCCATTATGCATAGGCCCAATTTAAAAGTACGTTGAGATTTTAAATGTTTTGATGCTTTGAGATGTATTTATTCCCTACAACACTATGTGTTGGGGGTATTATAAGTTTGATTGGGCCAAAAATTATGTAACACCATGAAATATTGGTTTCCCACATAGGAAAGTATATATGGATCTTCCTATCTCGCCGAGCTGAGTCGATCTAGCTATGTATGTCCGTCCGTCCGTTTGTCCGTCTGTCCATGTTAATTTGTAATCACTCTACAGGTCGCAATTATGGCCCGATCTTCACGAAATTTGGAATGGAGGTGGGGCTAGGGTCAGAATAGAACCCTATTTCTTTTCGAGATGATCGCATAATATTTAGGAAAAATTTTTTTAGAAAAAAATTACTGATTTTGCAGTTAATCTACGGAAGTTAGCATGGGGCTAGAGCTTAGGGCTGGGCAGAAGCCTTCCAATTTTGATGGTCGTCGGATAATATTTAGTGGGTGAAATAGGCCACAATATTTGTGTTAAATAAAAGTCAAATTTTCTATTAAGCCGCGAATATTTTTAGTACCGGCGAAATTACAAATAGACGAACGGGTCAATTCTGACCGTTACGTAGATGCGGATCGGATATATATAGTGAAATATATACAAAGGAAGGGGATGTTAGTTAGAATGCTTATATCTCAAGAATGGCTGGACCGATTTTGACAAATTTTGTCAATTCAGAATGCCCTCTTGACATAAAAGTATGAAATCTAAAAACATCGCAGAAAAATATGGCAATAATGATGTTAATATAGATTTTGAAGTATTTTGTGACATATTCTTATTTTTTATCGCATGCGATTTTTTCAATTTGATTTATAATATTTTTTAATATTTTTTCACCTTACAACACAGGTTGGGATTATTATATAAGGATTGCAAATATCGTCCGATCCTCACGAAAATTTTCACAAGGATAGGGTTGGGCTCAGAAGGGCTAGGCCTATTGGCCTTTTTTATGCTGATTTCGTTGACGAATATAGCCAAATATCGTAGACAAGCAAATCATATAGATGTGTCTAAATTTTGAGATACGGAGGGGCTTCTTGCTTTTGGAGATGATCGCAAAATATTTAGGGGTTCAAATTAACCAAAAACAGAAATGTTTTTCCGACACGCCTGTGAATAGAGTTAAGGACAGTGAAGAATTCTAGCATTTTGGATGACCATTGGATTATATTTAGTTGTAAAATGGACTACACCAACTAACAGCACGACGGAGTGCATGAATATTGGAAAATGTCCCTAGTCAAAACCTAATTTCAAATTCCAATATGGATTTGGCTTCTAACATATTATAGTGTTGTAGGGTATTACATAGTCGGCCCCGCACGACTATAGCCTTTGCTTACTTGTTTTTAATCAAAATTGTATGAATACATGTAAAATTTCTCGATTTTGTTTTTTTTTTTGTCAATAAATATTTTCAATTCAATACAAATTCCTTATCAAAATAGAAAATTTAAGTCTTTTACTTCCGCGATTTTTCTAGAGTTTTTTTTTTTTTTTCAAAATTTTCATTCATGAATTACATTCCACTATAATTACAAATAACCAAAAGAAAATTTGAGTCAATTCGGACAAACAATTCTCAACTGATGTGTTACTATATTTTTGTAACACCTCGAAATACACATTTAAGACACCCAAAGTATATATATTTTTGATCAGCATAAAATTCTATGTCGATTTAGCGATGTCCGTCCGTCTGTCCGTCTATCCGTCTGTGGAAATCACTGTAGCATCTGAACGAAAAGAAGTAGATCGATAAAATTGTACTCAAATGTATATTATGTCTGCAGAAATTTTGGTATTGAAAATGGGCCATGTGGGTCCACGTCTTCGTATAGCATCCATATAACGGCACCTCCCGATATTCGGTGTTTTGATGATTTTAGCGGTATTATTCACCGAAATTGTTCCAAATTTGGTATTTAATGTTCGTAATGGCTGCTACAGCTTGTGACAGAAAATTGTCTGTACAGGTCCATGTCTTCGTATAGCCCCCATATAACGGTACCTCCCGATATTCGGTTTTTTGATGATTTTTGCGACTTTATTTACCGGAATAGTATCAAATTTGGTATTTAAAGTTCGTAATGGATATTACAGCGTAAGATAGAAATTGGGCCATATAGGTCCACGTCTTCCCCATATAACGGTACCTCCCGATATTCGGTATTTTGATGATTTTAGCGACATTATTTACCGGATTTTTTTTTTCAAATTTGGTATTTGAAGTTCATAATGGATACTACAACCTATGTCAGAAAATTGTCTTGCAGGTCCACGTTTTATAACCCCCATGGTACCTCCTTATATTCGGTATTTTGATGATTTTAGCTACATTATAAACATAACTTTTTTTCAAGTTTCGCATTTGAATAATGTAATAGCTTATGACAAAAGTTGGGTATACGGCTACATTCGGTATTATTAAGATTTTAACAAAATTTTTAACGGATTTTATTTCTTTGAAAATTTGCCAAATTCTTTCCAAATGGTGGAGGGTATTCATAGTTCGGCCCGGCCGAACTTACAGCTTTTTTACTTTTTTGTTTTTCATTCACATAGTCTGTTGGAAAACATCCACCGACTGACTAACAATGCAACTCAAATAAAACTCATCGATATTTGCGTTCTTCTATAGAACCATGCTCATACGATGATGCAGTTCCATTGCAACACTTTATTTACAGTTATGTTTTTTTTTGTTGTTTACCTGAATGTCTAAAATAAAATTACAAAATAATCATAAGAAGGTTTTTAAATGCATGACGTTAGATAAGGAAGTAGTCTGTTGACAGGATTCGGATATCAAATATGGAAAGATGAAAGTAGTGGTACCCTTTAGAGTTAACTGTCGTTTGATTTCAGTTTTTTTTTTTAAATCTGTTATTAAATTGTAGGTATGGCTGAATTTGTGTGGATGTGAAAATGATTGGACATGATGCGATGGTATACAGAGTGGTTGGTAATGGTCTGTTTGGAGGGTTAGGCCGGAATTGTGGTTGTCGTCAATTTGCAAATTAGTCACGGAGCATCGTCAGTTGCCATTCTTCTAGTAATTGTATTTGTGATTTGGCCCGGAGAATGACACAAAGTTGCCATGTGATGGAGCATGTCCTTCGACGGGCTTGATCAGGAGTGCCGGCTTGGGGGCGTAATGTACCAAGGGTGCAGGCTTAATGGCAGTGAGATGAATGGGGGTAATGACTTTAGCAGCTGTCAAGATCTTGTGGTGGGGCTCCGGTACGGGTATCTTGATATTAGTCGGCTCGCGGATGACAACAGCTTCGAAGCCACTGTGAGCGTCCGACTTGTAGGTGACCAATCGGCGGTGACCATCTGAATCGATCAGTTCATACGATCCCTCGACTTTGTCATCTTTGCGGCTCTCCTTTTGGCTTTTGATGTCGCCAGTGTGAGGATCGTGCACAGAATAGTGGAACTCATAGGCGACTGGTCCATAGTCGGGTTCAGCTTTCAGTTCAATACCTACTGCCAAATGGGCAATGGCCACTAAGCAAATGACAGACTGGAATATGCAAAAGGCGATGTTAAATGTGAAGTAGAAATAGATTTCCAATGACCATTCCGGGGCTTACCTTTAAGAACATGTTGTTGTTGTTTTGTTTCTTTTTGGAGAATATTCTTCTTAAAATTTTTGATTCGACCTCGGCAAATTTCCCCGCTGTGTAGGTTTATGGGCGTTGTATGTTCACAGAACAAGTGCTGAATGGTTTATAATCCAATAGTCGAAATCCTGCGTATATTTATATTCACCCAAGATTCCGTTAAGCATCGGGTGATGTGTGTGGAGCCTCCCCTATTCGAGCACATGGAAATGAAGAAGGCGTCCGGCGTTGTCACCGTTTATCCGGCGGTGCCACAGCACACAGATTGTCGATGAGGCAACAAGTGTACATGTGCAGGCACAAACACACTCACTCACACCCTAGTGTGCGATATGTTGGTGCTTGCATGTTATGCCAAACAGAATTGTCTAGAGCACGAGCCTAATGGAAGTGTGTGTGTGTGTGTGAGTGCGGTTCTTTTTGCAACTTCTAATGCCGCTATGCAGCAGTATCTTGACTGCTGTTTACCTCGTCGTCTGATTAACCACTACAGGTTACCATCAGCAATAGCACTGTGTGGCGCGGCAAAGGATGCAGCCACTCAACACTTGCAGTGACAACGAATGCCGCACTGGTTTGTTTACCCGAACAAGTGAATCTGGCTTGTGACGAAATTCTACTCCAATTTCTGACACTGGTACTCGATGGCCTGGCGGCAGGCGAAGACATTGCCAGCGAAAAGTCGAAATCTTCGCAGACCGGTAGAACGTCTATGCGGTGCCACAAACCACAGCTTATTATGTTAATTGCAAATAGTCAACGTCATGCAGAGGACAGGGGCAAGTGGGCGGACTCGCCCGGTGCCCGGTGCGCTGTACGTTTTCGATTAGTTCGCATTAATTTGAATTATGCAAATGTGCTTCACTTTCGATTTCATTTACAACCAAATTGTGGATTTATTGATGAAAGCAATAGCAACTGCATATGCATACATGCGTACATACATACATACATACATATTGACATTTGTTTATGCATTGCAATCGAATGATTGAGTGGATGGATGGATGCAAGTAGGACGGGAGTTGTGTTGTCATTAGGTTTCTAATGCTGCTGTTAGCTGGTTCGAGTCTCGCCTGTGCTGACGTGCACATCCACGCACGCACTCATTTACTGCGTGTCTTGTTAATGATTCCACAATTCTGGTATGGTGGGTTTGGGTGGTGCGCCTCTGTTCATGACATCGCAATCGCCTGAAATTTGTCAATACCGACAGTTGCCGGTATTTCGGCATTAATTCGTCAGATGGTGGCCGCAACTGAACATTGCTGGTAATTGATCGCATTATTGACTGACACCTTAGGTTGGCAGGGTAAGAACGGATTGACTCGTGCCAATCAGATATGGCTAAAGAGTACGAAAATTGTACGTTTATGGTAGGTAGTGGCGTTGGTTGGTAAACCCTTGTAGGCAGCCAAAAACAGAAGTGTTTTAAACAGTGTTGCCACAAAAAATAAATCCAATCAAAATTTCCTCAAAATCTGACCAAAATGACTTGCTTCCGACCAAATTACTAAATAACAAGTAAAAAAGCTGTAAATTCGGCCGGGCCCAACTTTGAATACCCTCCGCCATTTGGAACGAATTTGGCAATTCTCAAAAACAATAAAATCCGTTAAAATCTTAGAAATACCGAATGTACCCGTTATATTAGGGTCTATACGATGACACGGAACTGCATAGGTAATTTTTTTCATAAGCCATAACAATATTCAAATGTGAAACTTAGAAAAACAAATTGGTGAATAATGTAGCTACAGTCATCAAAATACCGATTATCGGAAGGTTCCGTTATATGGGGGCTATACGAAGACGTGGACCTGCACAAACAATTTTCTGTCTCGGGTTGCAGTATCCGTTACGAACTTCAAATACCGAATTCGAAACAATTCCGGTTAATAATGTCGCTAAAATCATCAAAATACCGAATATCGGGAGTACCTTTCGTATGGGGGCCATACGAAGACGTGGACCTGCATAGACAGCTTTCTGTCTTAGGCGAACTTCAAATACCAAATTCGAAACAATTCCGGTGAAAAATGTCGCTAAAATTATCAAAATACCGAATATAGGGAGGTCCCGTTATATGGGGGCTATGCGAAACGTGGACCTGCATAGACAATTTTCTGCCTTAGGTTGTAGTATCCATTTCGAACTTCAAATGCCATACCATACCGTTATATGGAGGCTATACGAAGACGTAGACCTGCACAGACAATTTTCTGTCTTAGGCTGTAGTATCCATTTCGAACTTCAAATAGCTAATTTGAAACAATTCCGGTGAACAATGTCGCTAAAATCATCGATATACCGAATATACATGGCCCATTTACGAACTTAACCTGCCTACTGGCAAAGTATACATGTGTGCAAAATTTTAGCCTTCTATCTCAATTCGTTCGAAAGATAGCGTGATTACAACAGACAGACGGACATGGCTAAGATTCGTCGGTATTTTTCTTTCGTTTGAAAATTTGGCGATGTTTTTTTGTGTCAGTGACAAACGAGTTTTCGGTTTTTGTAACGAAAAAATACAAACGAAAATGTCAGAAAAAACGATAGGAAGGGGCACTTAGTTTTGAAAAGAAATTGGCTGTTTGTTACAGAATCACGCTAAAATTGTATGTGTGGGATGGGGGATTTATATATGAACTGTTTTTACACATCAGTTTCGTTGTTGATGCATCTTGCAGGACTATATTCTTCGAATGATGTCTTGACATTTTTAAATTTTATTTTGTCACAACCAACACAACTCCTAATGGAATTAATTAAAAAATTAAAAAAAAACAATGTTTATAGAAACTCTGACATATCAAAGCTTTTCGGGAGTGGATAAGAGAATTTAAAATATTTATAAAAACCCAAATTAAAACGAATACATTTTAACGCGAACGATTCAATTGAAAGCAACTTTTCTTACCTAACAGTCTGTACAATTGAAATTTAGTCTTTGTATTATATGCGCCGAACGAGAGGGCCACCTCCCCGTAACGTAGGAAGTAGACTTGGGAAACCGGCTACATTGGAGCCTCAGTCAGTTAACAATTAAAAGATTAAATTATCTAAGCTAAACTACAGTAAAATTTATCTTCACAAAAACTAAAGGTGACAATACATAAAACGCTTTTTTCACTGGCTTAAGTCATCGGCTGGCTTCTTCGTAGAGGAACAAAGGAGTTTTAGGTTGACTTAGTTCGATGTTGGCCCTACGTTCCTTTGTTCTTTTCCGACGCAGCCAGAGGATGACTTATGTCAGTCAAAGAAGCGTTTCATGTATTCTCACCTTAAGTCTGGCAACAGTTTTACATACTAAGAACGTAGTATAGAGATTTTTATGACATGCAAGGGTTCACACAAAGAAATCGAAATCCGTTTCAGAACATTTGGAGTCGATCTGGCTGGTTGGTGCGCACGATAACTCTCGAAGGGAGTATCCGATTTGTTCCAATGTTGGTACATCGTAATATTATTGTCAATCTTAGATTGAGTTCGGAGATGGGCAATATCGGTCCACTCCTTCTGGTACCTCCGACATAAAATGTCTAAATTTTCAAAGAATATAATTTATTGCATAGAAAGAGAAACGATAATCCAATTTTGCTCCAACTTTGCACATCCTACAATTTGTGTCAGTGCTAGGTTAGGTACAAAAATGGACAATATCGGCTTACTCCATTAAGTACCTCCCCCACAAAGGGTCAAAATTTTGAATAATTATAACTCTTATAATATGTGATGTAAGAGTCTGATTGTCTTAAAATTGCACACATCACAATATTTTTATTAATCCAAGGTCTGGTGTGAAGATGGAATATATCGACCCACTCTTTCTGATACCACCCCCACACAGGTTCAAAATTTCCAATACCCATGAATCTCATAAAACTCGAAATTAATATCCGATTTCATTCAGACTTGGCACATATCAATATTTCTATCAACACAAGATCTCTTACAACGAGGGTAGAGATGGGACCATTTCTTCTGGTACTTCCCCTACAATGGGTCAAATTTTTGAATAACCAAAACGATCTTAAAATCCGAAATAAGCATCCAGTTCTCTCAAAGGATCAAAATGTTGAATATCCATGTAGGTCATAAAACGCGAAATTAACATTTTATTCCATTCAGACCAGGTACATCCCAATATTTCCGTTAACATAAGATCTGTTATAAAGATGGGACGGATTTCATCTCGTATCTACATTTTTGCTAACAAAAGATCTGTTGTGAAGATGATTTATATCTGCAAATAACTTCTTATGCCTTACCCACAAAGGGTCACAATTTTCAATACTTTTATCTGTGGTAACTTGCGAATCTAGTCAGCGGTTTTTCTAAAAATTTTCACATCTATATATATAAAAATCAATTGTTGCTCGTTGGCAATGGAATCAGTTAAGAACAGCTGAACCGATTTGCATTATTTTTTGTGCAAACGTTCGTCATACCCCGAGTTTGGTTTTTAAAGAAAAAATATTGACCACACCTATTTTTACGCCCACTATTTCGATTTATACAAAATCCTTATATTTGCCAAATAATGAAGATATCGATTTTAAAATTTTTATACGACATACTGTAGACTTTCCCTCTAATCCTAAGTATTTATTTGGGGGCTGAGGAACTGACCACACCTTCTATTTAATCTGTATATAAACCAATTGTTGTTCGTGTTTTCCACAGTTAGTATACGACGGAATCTTGACTCTTCATCCCTCCCCCAACCCTAGATATCTGTTTAGGGTCAGAGGAACTGGCCACACCTACTTCTTTAAATTTATATGTAAAAAAATTGGAAAAGTATATTAACATATCAGTTGAGAACGGCTGGGCCGATATGACTCCAATTTTCTTTTGGTTATTTGTAATTACAGTGGAAACGTTGTCATGAAAGAAAATTTTGAGAAAAATCGCGAAACTGAAAAAATTGGCTATTATATTATGATATGGAATTTTGTGTAGAATTGTTTCAGAAT